GCAAAGCAAAACAAGTAAAATGGGAAGCATATTACCTAAAACATATTGGAGTGCCTTTCCTAGATAAAGCATCCCAAATCTTAATTAAGCTATCATCAGTAGGCCTATGTATACATTTACTGGTACTGGTACTGGTACTGGTACTTGTAGCCGTCTGATTTCAGACATTCGGTAACTATTGTCATTATGTTGGCGTTAAAAGACTGCATATTTAGGTTCATTTAATTTATTGATTACATGGTTAAAATACTTGTAATATGATTGACTTAATGCTGTTCCACCCAGAAGTTTTCCGAAATCTCCGCTTCAGCTGTTCTGCTCAATAATGCCATGATGAGGTTCCTCCAGGTTATCCTATTGTTAGTTTTTTATGTCTTTGTAAGTTTTTAATTTAATTTGATTTGATGGGAACAAGACGTTAAGTTTTTTCAGATCTCGATTAAGGGTTGTAGGCAGTGTCTCTTTTTTCCTAGAAATATATGAGATAAAAATGTTATTGTAATAGTTGCAATCTTAATAAGATTATATTTTAGTGTTGGGGTGAAAAACGTTAGTGTATAACGTAAAAGTAAAACGTGTTCTTCTGCATACTTAAGATTGTGTTAATTATAATAATTAAAATTAACAGATGCATAAATAATAAATATTATTTTTATATTTTTTTCGTAAAACTATTATTTTGTTTGCACGAAATCAAGTTAAGGATGCTCTAGTAAAAATTGTAAATCAAGACAACAAAATTGTTTCAATATTTGACAGAAATTTGATCATTTGTATGATAAAATAAGTTAAAAATTAATTGTTTTTTAATTGATATTTTAAATTTTTTCAAATTAGTACAAGCAGTGGCCCATTATATCTTTACCCCGATGATTTTTTTTCTTTTTTTTTTGGTAAATCTTATCTAAATCTAAATAATATGTTTCGGTCGTCCCTGCAACCTTCTTCTGCAGTGTGAACTGAACATACAACAAACTTTGCATAGAGTATATTGGCACATCAAGGAAGTAATTAGGCATAAATATTAGCATGACAAAATAAGGTGATTAATGGAATAACTAATTGTTTATGTGTGGTC